CTCCCTCCTCCTCCGGCTCCTCTGCCCTGCCGGAGCGCTCGTTGCTCCTCTCGGGCTGAAGCATCGCCTGCACCGGGATCTTTCCGAGGATTTTTTTTTCTGTAGGGGTGGGTGGGGGGTTTGTTTACTGCACGGGAGTGTGAGCGTGTTCCTCCCCGCCGCTCTGCACCTCTCGGTCGATGGTCGTTGGGGAAGCTTCCATCTTGAGTCCCGTGTCTACCGAGAGAACCATGGCGAGCGACTCCCCGGCACGGAGTCTGGACGAGATAGACCTGTCTGCACTACGGGTAAATGTGTCCGTGCGTGTGTGATGAGCTGTCTCTGCCTGTGCGCGTGCGTGTGAGTTTGGCGAACACCTGTCCCCCCCCCTCCTCCTTTTCTCCTTCTCCTCTCCATCCTCACCGGTGATGGATGCGTCTCCCTGTGCCTTCCTCTCCTTTCTTGCTTCTGCCGTGCCTGCGCGTGCACATGAGTTACACTGTGCTGTATGCGGGGGGGGGCTGTGATGCTCGTGATTGAGGAAATCACATCGGATATCAGAGTGTGGGCTCAGGCAGCCTCCTCTTGTTGTTTGTTCCTTTTTTATTTATTCTAAACAATCGGAACGCGATGTAACGACGCTCCGAGCTGTGCGCGTGCACCAACCCCGTACGCACACACACGAGCGCGTGCGCAAGGCAGCAAGTAGAGGCTGCTGTGTCTGTGGTATGTGGGGCAGATGTTAAGCTGCCTGCTCATTGACACTTTCACAGCACACAGATACAGAGGCTCGCGGTGCACGCGCTCACTTTCCTCGCTCGTGCACGCGCGTTTTGCTCTAGGTCTCTCACTCTAACACACAAACTCACACACACACTCACACACACCGTGAATAATAGCGATGATAACCGCAACAGGAGCGAGTTCCGCCATTTCGTGATGTTGTGGCGACAGCAGCAGCAGCAGCCGCGTGCACGGACTGTGTGCAAGGGGTTATGTCCGTGCACGTGCGCGCGCCCCCGCCAGGATGTGAGATGTGCAGAAGGAGACAGTGCAGGAATGTGTGTGTGTGTGTGTGTGTGTGAGAGGAAAACTAATGATAGAATCACATTTGTATAAACTTTATTTTTTAATTCAGTGTGTGTGTGCGTGTGTGTGTGTGTGTGTGTGTGTGTGTGTGTGTGTGAGGCACAGCTCCCCTTTCTTTGCCGCTTATGCAACACAGATGTACCTGCAGAGTAACGATCAAGTCTGGACATGATCGACCGGGTGGGACTGCAAGCCTGTGTGTGTCTTTGTATCTCTAAAAGGCACACACACAGACACACACAGACACACACA